CGGCGAGAGCAGCAGCAGCAGTCGCCGCAGCCGCAAGCGGAGGAGCCTCCCTTGCGGCGCTGCCCCCCCCCCCCCCCCTGACTTCGAGGCGCTGCGAGAACAACCCAGCGCGCGGCGGCGTTATTTCTGGCGGGCCGCGGGGGCCGCTTGTCGGGCCCTGGGGCCATCAGGCACGTGGCCCGCGACGACAGAGCTTGTCCCGGGGCCGGGGTCGAGGGCTCCTGGGGCCCACGCCGTGACGGGAAGGCACGGCCTTCGGAGGCCCGGGCGCCGTGGCCGCCGGAGGGGCGGTCCCCGGTCGCGGGGCCGCGCAGGCGCACGGATGCCGCGGGCCGAGGGTGCCCTCCAGGTCGGCCGCCGGGGCGGGGGCGCAACAGTGGCTGCGCTTCGCGCTTCGCGGCCTGGGCCGGAGAGGTGCTCTGCGCCATGCGAGCGGTGCGCGGGCGCGAAGGTTGGGTAACCCAGGCCTCGCCTGTGCCCGTGAGCCGCCTGGCAGCCGCGGCGGACCTGGCCCGGGGTTCGACCGTGGGGGGAGCGATCGGGACCCCCAGGGAGCATCTCACGACCGACGCGACCACGACGACAGACGACGACCGAGGACAACCGACAACGTCGACGGCGATGACAGCGACGATGACGACGAGACAGATGATGACGGTGATGATCACGACGACGAGGATGATGACATTCTAGACGCTTCGCGTAACCCCACCAGCTGTGCCCGACGATTGCGATGGGTTGCTGGTTCGGCGGTCGGCACGGGCAGCTCCAACGCCGCGGAGACGTTTGACGATGTCGCTGAGTGATGCCATTGCAGTGTGGGTACCTGCGAATTCACCGCCATATTGGCCTGATACCTGGTCCTCGCCGGGTTCGCCTGAGCCCTTGTTGAGTCCGCCTCGGCCGCTTAGCTTGCATTTCTTCCCGCCGCTTGTTAGATGCGTGCGTTCGGCTCCGTCTTAGGCCGTAATTTAGTGCGCTGCTCGTTCGCCGCGGTTTGACTTGACGCCGTGCGATGTTTCGCTACGGTCGCGAACAAAAAAAGTACCTCCATCAGCCCATCCAGAAACGATGCCCGGAATGCCTCGATCAGGGAAGTGGGCAGCACGCAGAGGAAGGGCCCCTCCAGTGGAGGCCTCTTGTAGCGTCTTGGGGGCTTCTTGGCGGTCCCGCGCGCCTCTTAGAGCGTTTTGGGTGCCTCGGAAAGCTTCTTAGGGCCTCTTGGGCAGCCGCCGCCGTGCCGCCCGCCGCCGCCGCTGCCGCCGCCGCCGCCGCCCCCGCTGCCAAATCGCCGCCGCCGCAGCCGCTGCCGCCACCGCCGCCGCCGCCGCCGCCACCGCCGCCGCCGCCGCCCAACCGCCGCCGCCCGCCCCGCCGCCGCCGCCGCCACGCCGCCGCCGCCGCGCCTGCCGGCAGCCGCCACGCCGCCGCAGCCGCCGCAGGCAGCCACGCCGCCGCCAAATTTTTTTTTTTTTTTTTTTTTTTTTTTTGTGTCCGGTATGGCGGGGGAAGGCCGCATCGGCTTGGCTCTAATTGGGAACAGTGATAAACCCCTCCCCGAAGGGGAAAAAGGAGTGGTAAAAGTGGAAACGTTCTAGACCACCTACGCCCAACGAGCTGGTGGGATTCTAGACGTCTCGCGTAACCCCACCGAGGTTCCCCCCTGGCCAGCTAGCGCGGGCCATTCAGACGCGGCGGAAGAAGAGGATACCCAACACCCCCCCAGTGGGAACCGCATGGTCGTGCCCTCTTTTCCGGACAATGTGGCTGTCAACCACTACCCACCTACGCAGGCGGCCCCAGTGGGTGCTGGGACACGTGAGGGCGCTGTTGCGGGAGAAGCGAGCTGGCAGGGCTGCCGCCCCCCCTTCCGTCTCAATCGATAGTGCGGCTGTCAGCGAGGCAGCCCTGTCAGGCCCTGCCAGATTCGGAGCCCGCCGCCCATGGAGCCCCCCCAGGCCTCAGTGCAGCCCCCAGTGGAGCCCCCCAGGACCCAACTCCCCGCCCCAGGTCTCAGCGGAACCCCCACAACCCCACCCGAGCAGACAACATATTCGGCTCGACGGCGAGGACGATTGGTGCACCCATGTGCCAGGGTGAGCGCAGCCTGGTCGGAGACCCCCCCTGAGTGGCTGGGCAGCAAGCGCGCCCGTCTTCCGACGATGAAGCCGTGACCCACCACCACACCTGCCTCGACGGGAGAGGGACCTCGCGTGTTGACTTCGGAGGCTCGGTGTACCTCTCCTGCCCCTGAATCCCTTGTTCTGGTCTCCGTGACACGCGGCTCTGCCCCCGCCGCGAGCTCGGGGAGGGACACGACGGGAAACGCTTGCGAACGGGCACAACCCCCCCCGTCGGCACCCGTCAGAACGGCACACGGAGTGGAAACATTACAACAGAGTCTCGCATACGCGGACGTGGATGCTGGAGTGAGTCCACAGGGCCCACGGGACACGGGACGCGGAGTGCTGCTTCACCTCCCCGGGGAGCAGCAGGCAGGAGCAGATCCCGCCCCGCATTCTCTGGAAGGATCACCAGCCCCACCCGGTGCGAGCGATGGCGACATCACCCCCACGGTGCCTCTGTCCCACCCGACCTGGGCTAGGAGGGCCAACGACGTGACTCCCACCGTCGGAAGGGGTCGACGTCAGTGGCCCTGAACGTCCCAGGTCCCGCAGCTGGACCGCCGTACGGCGGCGAAGAGCCCCCCTCCGCAGCAACTCGCCCTTGCGGCCCCAGTGCCTCCCTCACGCGGGCGAGGAATGGGGGCTCGGGGACCTCGACACGGGCGTTTCCTGCCCACCTCCCCTGGTCTCTGTCCCCCACGCCCGCCCCCCGCTTGTTCCGCCTCCAAATACAGTGCGACTGTCAGGCGCCCCCCGCCCGCGCGCACGACGGGGTCCCAAGACGGCGCCAGAGGCGCCCAAGGCAGCCCGAGAGGGCCCCAAGACGGCCCCAAGATGGAGCCAAGAGGGTTGACACGAACCGAAACCCCGAGTTTTCCACCCCGAGAGGCTCTCAGGAGGCCCCGAGAATCCCCTAACAGGCTCCAAGAGGCCCCAAGAAGCCCCCCAGGGGGCCGAAGAGCATCCCCCAAGAAGCAAAAATCCATGTCTTGCCATGGGTTTTTGATTGATGTTCAAGTTTTCAGCCTTTTGGCGTCCTGACGCTCCAAGACGGCCCAAAAGGCCTCCAAGACCAATCCAAGATAGCCCAAGAGGCCTCCAACAGGGCCCAAGACAGCCCGAATGGGCACCAATACGGCCCCAAAGGGAGCCCAAGAGGGGTAAGACGAACCGAAAATCCGAGCATTCCACCCCGAGAGACTCTCAGGGAGCCCCAGAGGCCCCCAAATGGGACCCAAGAGGCCCTCAAGAAGCTCCCCAGAATGCCGAAGAGGTTCCAAGAAGCATTGTTTTCCCATCGGCTTTTAATGGACTTTACCTAACAGCGAAGACTGATAGATTTCGAGTGGTCTCAAAGGAGAGCATCATGACTCCCCATGGGGGTCTGGGCAGATGCCGGACAGATGCCGGACGGGTGCCGCGGGAATCCGGGGACTCCCGCGGGAATCCGGGGACTCATTTTTTAGCCAACGGTAACGCACTTCGTGGTCTTCGAGTTCCCAGAAATCCATTCCTGGGCATGATTTTGAATGCCCGGAGCCAACTGTAGGCCACTTCGTGTTCTTCGAGTTCCCAGAACTCCATTCCTGGGCATGATTTTGAATGCCCGGAGCCAACTGTAGGCCACTTCGTGGTCTTCGAGTTCCCAGAACTCCATTCCTGGGCATAATTTTGAATGCCCGGAGCCAACTGTAGGCCACTTCGTGGTCTTCGAGTTCCCAGAGTTCCTGGGCATGATTTTGAATGCCGGAGCCAACTGTAGGCCACTTCGTGTTCTTCGAGTTCCCAGAACTCCATTCCCGGGCCACATTTTGAATGCTGAGGCAGGCTGATGCTGAGGCTGAGGCAGGCTGAGGCTGAGGCCGAGGCTGAAGGCAGACTGAGGCTGAGGCTGATGCAGGCTGAGGCTGAGGCTGAGGCAGGCTGAGGCTGAGGCTGAGGCAGGCTGATACTGAGGCAGGCTGAGGCTGAGGCTGAGGCTGATGCAGGCTGAGGCTGAGGCAGGCTGAGGCTGAGGCCGAGGCTGAAGGCAGACTGAGGCTGAGGCTGAAGCAGGCTGAGGCTGAGGCTGAGGCTGAGGCAGGCTGAGGCTGAGGCTGAGGCAGGCTGATGAGGCTGAGGCTGATGCAGGCTGAGGCTGAGGCAGGCTGAGGCTGAGGCCGAGGCTGAAGGCAGGCTGAGGCTGAAGCTGAGGCTGAGGCTGAGGCAGGCTGAGCTGAGGCTGAGGCTGAGGCTGAGGCAGGCTGAGGCTGAGGCAGGCTGAGGCTGAGGCCGAGGCTGAAGGCAGACTGAGGCTGAGGCTGAAGCAGGCTGAGGCTGAGGCTGAGGCAGGCTGAGGCTGAGGCTGAGGCAGGCTGATGCTGAGGCAGGCTGAGGCTGAGGCTGAGGCTGATGCAGGCTGAGGCTGAGGCAGGCTGAGGCTGAGGCCGAGGCTGAAGGCAGACTGAGGCTGAGGCTGAAGCAGGCTGAGGCTGAGGCTGAGGCTGAGGCAGGCTGAGGCTGAGGCTGGCAGGCTGATGCTGAGGCAGGCTGAGGCTGAGGCTGAGGCTGATGCAGGCTGAGGCTGAGGCAGGCTGAGGCTGAGGCCGAGGCTGAAGGCAGACTGAGGCTGAGGCTGAAGCAGGCTGAGGCTGAGGCTGAGGCAGGCTGAGGCTGAGGCAGGCTGAGGCTGAGGCTGAGGCTGCAGGCTGATGCTGAGGCAGGCTGAGGCTGAGGCTGAGGCTGATGCAGGCTGAGGCTGAGGCAGGCTGAGGCTGAGGCCGAGGCTGAAGGCAGACTGAGGCTGAGGCTGAAGCAGGCTGAGGCTGAGGCTGAGGCAGGCTGAGGCTGAGGCTGAGCAGGCTGATGCTGAGGCAGGCTGAGGCTGAGGCTGAGGCTGATGCAGGCTGAGGCTGAGGCAGGCTGAGGCTGAGGCCGAGGCTGAAGGCAGACTGATGCTGAGGCTGAAGCAGGCTGAGGCTGAGGCTGAGGCAGGCTGAGGCTGAGGCAGGATGAGGCTGAGGCTGAGGCAGGCTGAGGCTGAGGCTGTGACTGCGACTGCCGTTGCCACTGCGACTGTCATCGTCAATGCGACTACGACTGCGAGAACAGCAGAATTCTACAACTGGATTCTCATCTGAATCTTAAGGGGAATGCTTCCAGATATGCTCCTATACATCGCTGTTAGGTTGCTTTGCCGGGATAATTAGAGTTCCCAGCCTATTGGCATCCCAACGCTCCAAGACGGCCCAAGTGGCCCCCAAGACCGCTCCAAGATAGCCGAAGAGGCCTCCAAGAGGGCCCCAAGACGGCCCACGAGGGCCCCAAGACGGTGCCCGAGGCGCCCAAGACGGCCCGAAAGGGCCCCAAGAGGGCCCCAGAGAGCCCCAAGAAGGGGAACGCGAACCCAACAGCAGAGCTTTCCGCCCTAAGAGGCCCACAGGAGGCCCCAAGAGTCCCCAAGTGGACCGACGAGGCCTTTAATGCCCTACACCAGTCCCCAAAAGGCTCACAGGAGACGTACACGGGGCCCCAAGATAGCCGAACAGTGCCCTCGATGCATCAAAGTTGCTTCAAGGAGGCCCCAGGAGGCTTCCAGATTGCCCCAATGTGGCCTCAAGCCGGGCCTCCACGCAGCCAAGACGGCCAATTGACTGCTTCAGACTGCAGAACTTCACTTTCCGACTGCCCGGAGATCCCTGAGGGACCCTAAGAAGCCCCAATATGCCCCACCGAGAAGCACCCAAGAGGTGCCTCCAACAGCCAATTGAGGAAGCACGGAGAACCCCCCAGAAGCCCTTCAGATGCCCCCACGAAGACCCAAGAGGTTCCCAAGAGGCCCTCAGGAGGCACGACTATGCCACGCGCCTGTGCTTAATAGCGCTGTTCAAGATCTTCTAGCGCGCTCCCGGCCTGGGCTAGAACCTGAGCGCGCGCGAAGCGCGCGATGGTTCTAGTATATATATATATATATATATAGATTCCTATTCATACGTTTTTATAAAGCCATGGACCCCGGAAAGAGCGCACCCCCCCTGACCACCCCCCAAAACGAATTTGGAATCCTCGGGTCTGTCTTGCGCCTTGGGTTTTCTTTGATTTTCGACTCTCCAGGCCTCTTGGGCCAGCCTTATGCCTCTTTTGGGCTCGTCTGGGACTCATTTGGAACCGTCCTGGGGCTATCTCGACGCCTCAAGAGCCGATCGTTGTCGAAAAGGCGAGAAGACCAAAACACATTGTTTTTTCTAATGGGTTTTCATTGATTTTCAATTCTCTGGGCATTCTTCGGCCAGCCTTGGGCCTCTTTGGGGCTCGTCCTGGGACTCATTTGGAGCCGTCCTGGGGCTATCTCGACGCCTCAAGAGCCGATCGCAAGCGAAAATGCGAGAGGGCGAAAACATTGATTTTCCAATGGGTTTTCATTGAATTACAATTCTCTGGGCCTTGTTCGGCCAGTCTTGGGCCTCTGTGGGCCTCGTCTTGCGCCTCCCTGGGGCCATCCTGGGGCTATCTTGACGCCTCCCGAGCCGACCGGAAGCGAAAAAGCAAGAAGATTGAAAGCATTGCTTTTCCAATAGTTTTTTTTTGAAAGATTGATTTTCGAACCTCTGGGCCGTCTAAGGCCAGTCTGTGCCCTCTTTGGGGCTCGTCTTGGGACTCCTTTGGAGCCGTCCTGGGCCTATCTGAAGGCCTCAGGAGCCGATCGGAAGCGACAAGGCGAGAAGACCAAACACATTGATTTTCGAATGGGTTACAACGGATTTTCAATTCTTGGGGCCCTCTTCGGCCAGCCTTGGGCCTCTGTGGGCCTCGGCTTACGCCTCTCTGAGGGCATCTGGGGGTCATCTTGACGCCTCTCGAGCCAAACGGAAAGGAAAAGCGAGAAGGCCGAACCCATTGCTTTTCCAATGGGTTTTGTCTGATTGCCGACTCTCCGGGCCCTGTTGAGCCAGCCTTGGGCCTCTTTGGGGCTCGTCCTGGGACTCATTTGGAGCCGTCCTGGGGCTATCTCGACGCCTCAAGTGCCGATCGTGAGCGAAATGCGAGAAGGCGAAAACATTGAGTTTCCAATGGGTTTTCATGGATGTTCTATTTTTGTTGCCTTCTTGGGCCAGCCTTGGGCCTCTTTGGGGCTCGAAGCCGGCAGCCCAGCAGCGCTCATGAATTCCTCACCCATTCCGACTTGGCGGTGGCCCGCCCCATGTCCGCGCGCACTCACGCCGCCTGCATTCGAAACTACAAGGGACAAGGTGCATGGCGCGAATGCAGCATTGTATATATATATATATATATCCGCACACACATATACATATATATATATAGGTATATATATATGTATATATATACATATGTAGGTATACGCCTGCATATATGCATGTATACAGCGATGCAATTATATATATATGTACGCATGCATATATGTTTGGACGCACGCATGTATGCATGTAGTTATGTATGTATGCATGTTTGTTGGTTTGTATCGTTGCATGCGGATGTATGTATGTATGTATGTATGTATGTATGTATGTATGTATGTATGTATGTAGATATGTTTGCTTGTATGTTGGCATGCATACATGTCAATATGTATGTGTGGTACGCTATGATATGTTATGAGGTGCTAGGTTATGAGATGCTATGCTATTGTATGTTATCATATTTTATGTTGTGTTATGGTTGTGTGCATGCACGTGTGCAGACCTGTATGTATGCATTAATGTATGCGTGTATACATGTGTGCATGTTTGCATGTATGCATATAGTCATGTATGCAATTATGCAAGTCTACAGGCAGACATGTATGCATGTATCTATGCGTGCATGCATGTATGTATGCATGCATGCATGCATGCATGTATGTATGTGTGTATGTATGTATGTATGCATACATGTATGTATGCATGTATGTATGTATGTATGTGTGTCTGTACGTATAGCCACGCATGGATACGTAGTAACAAACGAATGGATGCTTAGCGACGTGGCTGGGGCCCTCCCTCCCTCCCCCCCTCGGTCCGCGCGCCCCCCCCCCCCCCGCCGCCGCGCGCCCCTGACGCGCCCCAGGAAGCGCAAGAAGGGGAGCAGCAGCTCCTCCTCCATGGCCCCCAAGGGGCGCAAGGAGCCCCCCGGGGAGGGCATGGCGCCGCGGCCGGGGCCGGCGCGCGGAGGGACGGGTGCCCTCCTCGCTCCCGCCCGGGAGCAGGGAGGGGGGGGTGGCGGGGGAGGAAGGATGGGGATGAGGATGAAGATGGGGATGGGGATGAGGATGGGGATGAGGATGGGGATGAGGACGAGGACGAGGATGAGGACGAGGGTGAGGATGATGCTGATGATGATGCTGCTGATGATGATGCTGACAAGGATGATGATGACGATGATGATGATGCTGATGCTGATGCTGATGCTGATGCTGATGCTGCTGATGATGGTGATCAGGATGGGGATTATGATGAGGATGCCGATGATGACGACTATGATGATGATGCTGACGCTGAGTATGATTATGATGGTGATGATGATCATAATGATGACGATGATGCTGCTGATGATGATGGAGGTGGTGGTAGTGATATGGAAATGGCCTCCGGCCAGTGCCGCCGATCTGGGGCGCTTCGGATGATGGTGATGATGACGATGATGACGATGACGACGATGACGACGATGACGACGATGACGACGATGACGATGACGATGACGATGACGATGACGATGACGATGATGATGATGATGATGATGATGATGATGATGATGATGACGATGACGATGATGCTGATGATGATGATGCTGATGATGATGATGATGATGATGATTCTGATGACGACGATGATGATGATGATGCTGATGATGATGATGCTGATGATGATGATGGTGGTGGTGGTGTTGGTGGTGGCGATGCTCATGATGATGATGATGATGATGATGATGATGATGGTGGTGATGATGATGATGATGATGATGATGATGATGATGATGATGATGATGATGATGATGATGATGATGATGATGATGATGTTGATGATGATAATGATGACGATGATGCTGCTGCTGATGATGATGATGATGATGATGATGATGATGAGGAGGAGGAGGAGGAGGAGGAGGAGGAGGAGGAGGATTTTGATCATGAGCCCTTGTGGGCGCCTCTTGGGCCCGTCCTGGATCCCTCTCTTGCGCCGTCTTGGGGGCCTCCTGGGCCTGCGTAAGCCCTTCTTAGGCCGTCTTGGAGCCTTTTTGAGGGCCCCTTGAGCCGTTTTGGACACTGGGGGGTCCTTGGGGGCCAGTTGGGGCCTTTTGGGGCCTCTTGGGGGCGTCTTGGGGCCTCCTGGGGGCCTCCTGGGCCGTCTTGGGCCCTTCTTGGGCCGTCTTGGAGCCCTTGTGGGCGCCTCTTGGGCCCGTCCTGGAGCCCTCTTGCGCCGTCTTGGGGCCTCCTGGGCCTGCGTAAGCCCTTCTTAGGCCGTCTTGGAGCCTTTTTGGGGCCCCTTGAGCCGTTTTGGACACTGTGAAGTCCCAAGAGGCGAACATGCTAAAAATGTAGGTTTTCCGAAGGGAAATCTATGATTTTGGCCGGTCGGGGCCCTTTTGGAAGACCTCTTGGGGGCCTTTGGGGGCGTCTTGGCGGCCTCTTGGGCTGTCTTGGGTTCATGTTCGGCGTCTTGGATCGATTTTTGGGCGATCCAGAAACGTCTTGGCCCGTCTTGGCGGCTTCTTGGCAACGTTTGGGTCCGTTTTGGCCAACCGAACCCCGACCAACCGAACCCAATCCGTGGAAGACCCCCCCCCCTTCCCCGGCAGAGCCACCCCGGCCCACCCCCCCCTTCAACTCACACGCCGGATCGGCGGATTTGTCGTGGTGATGCTGCTGCTGCCGATGATGATGCTGCTGATGATGATGCTGATGATTGATGATGATGATGCTGATGATGATGGGGATGATAATGATGATGCTGAATATTATGATGATGCTGATGATGGTGATGCGGATGGTGGTGATGATGATGGTGACGGTGATGATGATGGCGATACTGATGATGCTGCTGCTGATGATGATGAGGATGAGGATGATGCTGCTGATGATGCTGCTGGCGATGATGAAAATGATTATGGAAATGATGGTAAGGACGATGCTGACGATGGTGATGATTATGATGATGGTGATGCTGATGCTGATGCTGATGCTGATGCTTATGCTGATGATGATGATGATGATGATGATGATGATGATGATGATGATGATGCGGATGTTGTTGCCGATGATGGTAAGGATGAGGTTTATGATGGTGATGGTGATACTGATGCTGAGGATGATGATGGTGATGCTGATGCTCATTATGATGATGATGATGATGATGTTGATGCTGATGATGCTTCTGCTGATGATGCTGCTGCTGATGAGGAGCCTCAATGTTATAAACCGCCAGGGCGGGTGCAAACTTTTGAAACGGGTGCAAACTTTGCGACGAATGTGCGCGGCGCTACGGTGGGAACCTCACTGTTTTAGACCGCCAGGGCTCCATCCTTGAAGCATGTGAAGACGTTTACGGCGAATGCGCGCGGCGAAAAGGCGAGTGCCACATGTTGAAAACAATTTGTGCTCCATCCCAATTTCCAGCTTCAGGATTGTGAGCGGTGGGGAAGTCTCACGCGAAACGCCCGGCCCGCTCTACGGACACATCTGGGGGTGTTGCAGGGAGGAGTTATTTATGAGGGAAACAGATCGAGGAGGAGGACGAGGAGGACGGCTTACGGTGTTCGGTTTTTCCTGAGCGCCTCGGGGCTCCAGAGGCCTCCGCGTACCTCTGGGGGCTTCCGCGGGCGTCCACAGACTTTGGTAACCCCCGGAGGTCCGCAGAGGTCGCCTTGTCCTCCCCCCCTTGTTTTTCCCTCTTTGCTCCTCTCTCCTCGCTTCTCCCCCCCGGCCCCCCACCTCCCTATCTTACTTCTCGCCTCTCTCCTCTCTTCCTTTTTCCTCTTATCTCGATTCTCCACTCCCCCTCTCCTCCTCGTCTCGCTCCCCATCTCCTCTTCTCCTCTTCCCTCTCCGCCTTCTTCTGGTGTGCGACTGTAACCGCAAGGGTACAGGATGATGAGACCAGGAATGGAATAATCAATGGGGTGCATGGTCCAGACCCGGCTTTCCCGTTTCCCCCGTTCTCTTCGACCTCATGGAGCTTGGCGCAGGCTCACCATGCAGTACAAGGGGCTTGAGTCCTCACGCTTGGTCCAGGTTTGCATTGCGTTCTGGTGTTCTTTCGCCAATTCTGCAAATGTGGTCTCTATGCGCGCGTGTCTCGTATGTTGCCGCAGCATCCACCACGGCACATACTTGTTGGTCTCCATTGTGAAGTGTATGATCGTAGCCAGGAGGTGCCATCGCCCACAATGTGCTGGTAACAACATATCGCTATCATGCTTCAAGTTTGTTTCCTCGCGATATGGACCCTTTTGAATGTCCTGTCTATGCGATGCTTGTAGAAGACCCTGGGCGGGCATAACCAGGGCGCGAGGTCCATGTCATGATACTCGCCTGCCGTTCTTGGGATGAGCGGTCCAGCAGATTCAAGTTTATGCGTGCTGTTTTCCCCAAGACAAGCTTCACGTGCATCGAGCCTTGGATCTTACTCTCTTCATCTGCTGATGGGCCCTGAGATGATGCAGCATGCCCAGCTGGGGTTACAGAACCCAGCCTGCTGGCTTCCTCGGCCCAGTTGGCGTCAGAAGCGAGGGTGTCGGTCACCTCCAGGGCATGGCGGAGTGGCTGGGGGATTCGGCTCCGTTTCCTCCCTCTTAGGGGTTGGCTCCCTCTTCCTCGGAGTTGCCGTCGAGCCCGGTGAGTTGTCATCAGCCGCAGGCCGACGCGGAACTGCTGTGCGAAAAGAGATGTCCGCTCTCCTGCGGCTCGCCAACATGGACCACCATCCCAAGGCTAGCATCATGGTCCCTGCACGCTTTGTGCACAGCCTGCTCGAGGGTACGGTTCCGTCCATGGCGCCGACGGAGGAGGCGCCCTTGGCTCAGGCGGTTCGAGACCACGAGGCGGTGGCAGAGGTCGAGGACCACGTGGCCAAGGTACTTGGCGATGGTCGACTCGGCCGGGGAGCGCGTCGGAGGCCCCGCCTGCCGAGGCCAGGTGCACCAAGCAGAGGAGCAGCCCCAGCGGAACGGAAAAGGACAAGTTCGACGCGGGGGCACGATCTCCCGGGCAGGCGGCGCCCCCCGTCGGTGGTGCGTGGCGGGTTCTGCGGTCGCTCTCGCGCCCAGCGGCCTCGGCTTCGTTCGCCTGGGCGCGCCACGTGCCTAAGTGCAGGCGTGGGGGCAGTTCTTGTTTTGTCCACGGGGCAGAGCGGGCGACGCCTGTCGGAGGAGCCGCCCCAGGACCCAGGTGCGGTGGTGAGCGCCACCGACTCTGAGGCGTTGCTGGCCCAGGCTGCGAGACAGGGGCGGCAGAGGCGGCGTTCCGCCGCACTGGTTCAGGGGGCTCTTGTGGGGCCGCCAGGTGCCGAGCTGGAACGGGGATCTGGCGGCCCCGCCTCGTGTTATGGTGTTGAGCATTATTGCTGTGTGTACCAAGTTAAGTTATGTTGCCGATTTGGCTGCTGCAGTGTTGGCGGTGCTTGCTTTCGCCTGCCCCGAGAGATGCTCCCTGGTATTCAGTGTTTTTTTTTTTTTTTTTTTGTTTGTGAACTCCGTGTCTTCCTGGGCCTCCTGCGCTGCCGATCCCCAATCTTTCTATAAGGGTTCATCGTCGGCGCGTTCGCAGGTGGGCTTGGCCCGCCCTTGCGGGGCTGCGTGTTCACATGCAAGCGTGGGCAGCGCTGTGTCTCCCCTCATCCTCTCCACGTCTCCTCACATCCTCCTCCTCCTCCTCCTCCTCCTTCTCTGCCCTTTCATTACCTTGTGCCTTCCTACTTTTCGTCCTCCCTCTCTCCTTCTCCCTCTCGTCTTCGTCGTCGTCTTCGAGCTCGGCGGCACCATCGCGCCTGGCGCAGTCCCTTCGGGGATGTAGAGGCATATGGCAGGTCCGCGTTGTGTCGACGCGGAGACGACCCCGCCGCGGCTGTTCAAGAATGACTGCCGCCGACGGTCCAGAGCCGGCCACTATGGAACGACCTGGCGATCGAAACGCCGCTGGTCGCTCGAGGCAGAACGATCCACGCGGTGGCAGGAACCAGCGCCGGGGTCGTCACGACACGAGCCAGTCGCACGGGAGGAGGAAGGGAGGACGTGGGGAGGAAGAGGAAGCCACCAGAGCCATGTCGAACAACAAGTATCGGTGTCGTCATGTTGTGGTGTGAATTCGTTTTCCCTTTCGAGTGATGCCCGTTGCCTCTTCTGGTCTCGGCCCCCGACCCGCGAACCCCAGCTGCAGGAGACGGCGGAGGAGAAGGCGCACAGGAGAAAGATCAAGGAGAAGGCGATGGCGCTGCTGGCGCTCGGGCGCAACCCGGTCCCCCAGGAGCTATCTCTGCATTTTGTTGCGCTCACTCGGGCAGCGCTGACCTCGTGGCCGCTTGGCGCGTCCGGCTCACTGGCCGCCTTGTCCTCAGGGGCTCAGCCGGCCTCAGTTTGGCCTTGTCCCCGCGGGATCCTGGCCAGCAATCTCCAGGCTCCGCTCGCCTCGTAGGGTCTCGATTTATATAACACGTCGTGTTATCGGTCAACGGACCAAAGACTTCGGCGAACGTTTTCTGTACACAGACGTTCCAGCATCTCACGGCTTGGGAAGGTTGGGCGTCTGTACATAAGCTCCTGGGCCGACCAGTCGACTTGTTATACTTGCTTCCCTCCCACCTTCGTCAGTTTGGTCTGGTTCTCAGTGCCTCGCTTCTCAGAGAGCCTCTTTGGGTATTGTGCTCTGCTGGCCTTGGCTGGCTTCTCTCCTCTTTCTCTCCGTCGAGCATCTCACCTACAGTGGAGACCCATGCCAAGAAATACCCTGCTTGCCTCCAGGGTGCCCTGAGTTTCTTGTGTTTCGATGGTTTTGCCATGGCAAGCGTGACGTTCCCACACCATATATCGATGGACCTCCTGGGGTCTCAGTGTTGGGTTTCTTGTGTAAGGTTTCTTATGGACTGGCCTCCGTTCCATATTCTGCGCTTCCCGGCTGTCCGTGCGCAGGGCTTCCCATTTCTGGAATCCACCAATGTGCCGCCCAGCTGCCCTCGTGCACATTCAAAGTATTTGCCAATTGATTGAGTCTACAGTGTCCCGTTTGGCACGTGCATTAGGTCGGGCGTGTCCCTCTACAGGAGGAATATGCAAAAATAGTCAACAAACCATATGGGGATGATTTTCTCATATTTTTGACGATGTTTGATTTTTGAGATTTGTTCCATGTATCTTCCAACATCCGCCTGTAGGAGGACATGTCCGACCTAAGTCTACAGTGTCTCGTTTGGCACGTGCATCACACCACATCCACACTCAACGTTGCCCTTTCAGACGTTGCCAGCAGCCTGTGCACCTGATTTCACCCATGCGTTAGAAGGCCTCTAACGGTTTGCCGTCGCTGGCTTCGCGTATGCAGTTTCAACCCGCATAATAGGGATGAGCAAATTTTCGAAGGTTGTCTTTGCATCCTTCTTCCCCTTCGGCCCATCCTTGTGGCCGCTTTCGCTGGCCGCGCCCCGCTCGCAAAGTGTCGACATGACCTTCCAAGGCCCTTGCATCCTTATTGTGCTCCCCTATTCTACGGACTGACAGTAGATCACGTGTGACTTGCATTGAGTTGTCGCTTCCTGGCGGCCTCGGCTGGCAGATCGCTTCCAGCTTATCAGCTTCTCGTGGACATCTCGCTGCCATCAGAACGTTCCGCGCCTCTGCTCGCTCGACCCAGGTCGGCCATCTCTGGCCTCTTCGGGAGCGTCACAACGGGGGACTGGCCCAGACGGGGAAGCATCGATCCCTGATCGGCCATTCGTCGCCGATCGGGGCTTGGGTGCCGCACCGTGCCAAGGAAGGTCCTGTTCTTGGGTGGCCTAACGCCGATCTATCGGCGATGTGCGGCCGATTCCAGGCTGACCCAGACCTCCGATGTCGTGCGTTTGATGACGTGAGTCCCAGAGTTCTCGAGTCCATGCCTGGGACCTGCTCTTCGCCGCAGGTTTCCGTTTTGTTGATGGCCCTTGGGGTTTGGACCAGGTCGAGGTTTGGGCCAGCTTTTTTCCCTCGAGATTAATGGCCACGAAGTTTTGCGGTGTTTGGCCTCCCTGGCCTCTCCGTGGGCCCCGTGGGCCCCGGGACTGTCAAACGCGATGCAGGATGAGCGTTTGCCAGCGTGGACCCTAAACTGCGCGTTCTTGCTTGTATTCTGGGTGTGTAATTTTTATGTGTGGGATGTGCTATGCGGTGCAAGCTCCGTGGCGCAATCCACGTGGGGTACAGTCGGGCCGCTGAAATAAGGAACGCCGTACAAGGAACGAAACCCCTTTTTGGCACTGAAAAAGCCTCCGTGCCCGAGGAGGGCAAGAGGAACAGCAAAGGAGGAACCTAAGGAACATCGGGCCCCTTCCGACTCCCACTTGCTCCTTATTTCAACGTTTTGGCTGTAAGCTACGTGGTCAAGCTCAATGGTGCAAGCTGCGTGGTGCAATCTATGTGGTGCAAATCGCCGTGCCGAATTTGAAGTTGTCAACCCCACTGCTCGCGCAATCATCCCGCCCGCCCGCCCGCGGCTTGTTTTGCACACCCCATGCGTCGGCGATCCTGCTCGGCGCTGGCTGGCGCATTGCCGCAGCCGCGTCTCGCGCGCAGAGCGGCGGGCTAGTTTGTCGCGACCGACGCGGCCGCGGTGGCGCTGACCGCTGGGCACTTCCCAGCGGGCACTTCAGTGCGGGTTGGGGGCTTGGGCGGGCGCGGTATTATGGCCACGTCGTCAACGGTAGACGCGATGATGAGAGTAGCGATGCTGGTGAGGATGGTGACAACGAGGACAGCACGGCCAGTGACGGCGCCGATGTTGATCACGCCGACGGCGATGACGGCGTCCTAGCGTCGGTGGTGAAGGTTTTGTTAGGAGTTCGGCATGCGCGCGCGGCCGACGCGCGAGAGTGGCCTGCGTGGTACACTTTGACACGGGTCGTGCCCTTCCCCCCATCACGCGCGCGAGGGTTTTCGACAGATTTCGACATGTGGCGCGAGAGGCCCGTTTGGTATAATTCAACGAGCATGCTGAATTATTTCTGTTTCTCAAGACTTTCCAAGGCCGCGAGCGCACGCTTTTCTGGAATAGCCATGTTCCAGCATATTTTCATATGCAAATTTGTTTTCGGGGCGCTCGGTTTTGAACTCTAGACGAAATTGTATAGGTTTGTGATATGCTTGGGCGACGACGCGCGCGCGTGCACTCGGTCCCGTTTTGTCGCAAGGGGTTGTTGCGACGGCATGCGCGCGCGAGAGGCCCGTTTGGTAGCATCTTATGAAGAGGTTGAAGAAACAAGGGTTTGGCTAAGAATTCGCGAGCGCGCGGGCGCCGTGCTTTTTGGGGCGTTCTTGCGTTCTTGTTGCGAAACCATGTGTGTTCTCTATGCTTTCGGGGCGCTCTGGTATTTGTAACGGCTGCTGAGCTTTGATAAACGAGTGTGCGCGCGTTGCGTGTGTGTGTGCGCGTGTGTTTGTGTGTGTGTGTGTGTGTGTGTGTGTGTTTGCAATGGGTGAGGGGGGGGGGGGGGGGGGGGCGGCGCCGGTCTGGCTGACATGATATGAATTCAAATTTTGGACGGACGATGGGGCGCCTTCATATGCACATTGCAATGCGAAAAGGGGGGCCGTTCAGTCTGGGGGCGGGGTAGGTCGCAATGGCGTTCCAATGTGTTCGACATGCCGCATGAGAGGCCCGGGTAACTGAAGTTTCAATGCACATGCTGCACAACCTATGGCTGTCTGCAGGACTCGCTGGAGCGCGAGCGCGGCCTTTTCTGAAAATGGCCGCTGCAAGCCGCGCGCCTTCTATGTTATCGGGGCACTCGATTTGGAATTCCTTGCGCAACCGAAGGTTTCTGAAGGATTGCGGCCTGGGCGCGGCGACGCGCGCGCGTGCGCTTGGTGCTGCTTTTTGAGAAGGGTACTGGCGACGGCGCGCGCGCAGGGGCGCCCTTGCGATTCCGATGTGCGCGCGAGAGGCCCGCTTGGTAGGATTTTATGTCGATGTTGAAAAAACTTCAGGTTTTGCTGAGAATTCGCGAGAGCGCGGGCGCGGGCGCAGGCGCGGGCGCGGGCGCGGGCAAGGTTGCACAAACAAATGTTCAGTGATTTCAGGCCATTTTATTGTAGAACCTGAAGAAACTTTGGGTTTTGGCGGGCTTAGACATGCGCTCGCGACTACGCGCGCGTTTGCTCTTCGTTCCATTTGTTGCAGGGGATGATCTAAGGCTGGACGATAGGGCAGTATCACATGTACATTGCAATGCGACAAGGGGTGCCGTTAAGACTGGACGCGGGGGAGGTAGATCTTCTTCCCTCTTAAAAAAAGAATTCATCTTGCCGGACTTGGAGTTGTCAAGTCCACTGCTCGCGCAGTCATTCCACCCGCCCGCCCCCGACTTGGTTTGAAAGGCCCATGCGGCGGCGATTGCGATGGCTCCTCGGCGCTGGCTGGCGCGTCGCCGCGGCCGCGCTAGCCCGCGTGCTCGCGCGCAGGGCGGCCGGCTAGTTTGGCGCGACCGACGCGGCCGCGGTGGCGCTGATCGCTGGGCGCTTCCCGGCGGACGCTTCAGTGCGAGTCGGCGGCTTGGGCGGGCGCGGTGTCGTGGCCACGTCGAAAATGGCGGGCGTGAATATGATGATAGTAGAGATGCTGGTGGCGATGATAACAACGACGACGGCCGGGCCAGTAACGGCGCCGATGCTGATCGCGCCGATGACGATGATGGTGTCTTCTCGGCGATGAAGGTTATGGAAGGAGTTCGACGCGCGCGCGCGGCCGACGCGCGAGAGTGGCCCGCATGGAGTGCATTGGAGGCGAATCGCGCCCCCCCCCCCCAGCACGCGCGCAAGGGCGCGCGAATGATTCCGGCGCGCGGCGCGAGAGGCCCGCGCGGCACAGTTTAATGCGCGTGTTCAAAAGCCTAGCGTAAGAATTTGTTTGAAAATGGTTATATATAATATACTATATAATACAACATAATACAATATAATACAATATAGTATAATATAATATCATGTAATGTAATATAGTTATATATATATATGTATATATATATATATATATGCATATATATATATATATATATATGTTTTCGGGGCACTCGATGCTGGCACCCGTGCGAAACTGACAGCGTTTGAAAGATTTTGGCCTGCGGGCGCGACGACGCGCGCGCGTGCGCGTCGTCTTGTTCCTTACCATCCTGTGGTGTTGGGTCTTCGTTTTGAAGAGGCGGCGCCCCGCGTCTCCGCCTCCTCTCCTCCTCCCCCCTCCGCACACCCATTTCGGCACACCCCTCACACGTTTCGTGGCCCCACAGGGGGAGCTCCACCGAAGGCCCCAGTGCTGCCGTCCGCATGCGTCCCGCACACCCATTTCGGCACACCCCTCACACGTTTCGTGGCCCCATAGGGAGCTCCACCGAAGGCCCCATGGCTGCCGTCCGCATGCGTCCCGCACACCCATTTCGGCACACCCCTCACACGTTTCGTGGCCCCACAGGGAGCTCCACCGAAGGCCCCAGTGCTGCCGTCCGCATGCGTCCCGCACACCCATTTCGGCACACCCCTCACACGTTTCGTGGCCCCATAGGGAGCTCCACCGAAGGCCCCATGGCTGCCGTCCGCATGCGTCCCGCACACCCATTTCGGCACACCCCTCACACGTTTCGTGGCCCCACAGGGAGCTCCACCGAAGGCCCCAGTGCTGCCGTCCGCATGCGTCCCGCACACCCATTTCGGCACACCCCTCACACGTTTCGTGGCCCCATAGGGAGCTCCACCGAAGGCCCCATGGCTGCCGTCCGCATGCGTCCCGCACACCCATTTCGGCACACCCCTCACACGTTTCGTGGCCCCACAGGGAGCTCCACCGAAGGCCCCAGTGCTGCCGTCCGCATGCGTCCCGCACACCCATTTCGGCACACCCCTCACACGTTTCGTGGCCCCACAGGGAGCTCCACCGAAGGCCCCAGTGCTGCCGTCCGCATGCGTCCCGCACACCCATTTCGGCACACCCCTCACACGTTTCGTGGCCCCATAGGGAGCTCCACCGAAGGCCCCATGGCTGCCGTCCGCATGCGTCCCGCACACCCATTTCGGCACACCCCTCACACGTTTCGTGGCCCCATAGGGAGCTCCACCGAAGGCCCCATGGCTGCCGTCCGCATGCGTCCCGCACACCCATTTCGGCACACCCCTCACACGTTTCGTGGCCCCACAGGGAGCTCCACCGAAGGCCCCAGTGCTGCCGTCCGCATGCGTCCCGCACACCCATTTCGGCACACCCCTCACACGTTTCGTGGCCCCATAGGGAGCTCCACCGAAGGCCCCATGGCTGCCGTCCGCATGCGTCCCGCACACCCATTTCGGCACACCCCTCACACGTTTCGTGGCCCCACAGGGAGCTCCACCGAAGGCCCCATGGCTGCCGTCCGCATGCGTCCCGCACACCCATTTCGGCACACCCCTCACACGTTTCGTGGCCCCACAGGGAGCTCCACCGAAGGCCCCAGGCTGCCGTCCGCATGCGTCCCGCACACCCATTTCGGCACACCCCTCACACGTTTCGTGGCCCCAAGGGAGCTCCACCGAAGGCCCCAGTGCTGCCGTCCGCATGCGTCCCGCACACCAGGTGTGTGGCGTGCCGACATGGGCGTCGCGGCGCGCGGGCGCTGCCGTCGGGGTTCCCAGGGAAGCCCCCTGCAGAGGCGACGCTCAGAGTCACGAGTACCGAGAGTCACGCAGACCCAAACTGTTCACAGTCGTATACATACATTTACACTGGGCGTATCCATGCACGCATTCATGCGAATAGAATCAATCGCGCGCAGATTCATTCATAATCAGACTCGCTCGCGATCCGACTCGCACGCGCTCAAGCTTTCATATTCGGACCTATCGTCTTCGTTCGTGTTGTGTACACTGCCACGCATTTCGGCACACCCCTCATGCGGCTCGTGGCCCCATAGGGAGCGCCACCCAAGACGATATTCACAATTGCGGTACTATCAACTGCATATGGTTGGGTCCTTCGCCAGGCTAATTTTTCAATGGGTTTTTGACAGCTGATGAGTTTGGATCAACGAGTGTGCGTGTTTTTGCAGACGATGGGGGGGGGGGGGGCGGTGCTGGCCTGTCTGGCATGGCGCGAGCTAGTGTTTGGGGTGGGCGATGGGTCAGAATCGCACGTGAACTGCAGTGCGAACAGGGGGGGCCGTTAAACTCTGGGTGGGGGGGGGGTGGGGTGGGGTGGGGTGGGGGTGGGGGTGGGGTGGGGTGGGTGGGTGGGTGGGTGGGGGGGGGGGGTAGATCTTAATATTCTTCTGGAAAGGAGAATATTTGTGAATCTTTGTTGTGCGAGCTATTTGGTGCTGGCTATGTGGTGCAATGAATTTCTGTTCGCAGTGATTTGTCAACTACTGCTCGCGCAGCCATCCCGCCCGCCCGCCCGCAACTTGGTTTGGAAAACCCATGCGGCGGCGATGGCGATGATATCTCGGCGTTGGCTGGTGCATCTTTGCGGCCGCGCTAGCCCGCGCATGCTCGCGCGCGAAGTGGCCAGCTAGTTTGGCGCGACCGACGCGGCCGCGGTGGCTTTGACCTGTCGGCACTTCAGTGCAAGTCGGCGGCTTGGGCATTTCAGTGCAAGTCGGCGACTTGGGCGGGCGCGGCATCATGGCAACGCCGGCAACGGTATACACGATGATGGTAGTAACGATGCGGGTGACGATGGTGACAACGACGACGGCCAGGCCAGACCGATGCTGATCGCGCCGACGACGATGACGCTGGCGTCCTCGCGTCGGTGATGAAGGTTATGGAAGGAATTCGACATGCGCGCGCGGCCGACGCGCGAGAGTGGCCCGCATGGTGTGCATTTGACGCGGATCGTGCCCCCCCAGCGCGCGCGGAAAGGCGGTCGAATGATATCGGCATGTGGCGCGATCGGCTCGTTTGGCCGATTGTCATGATGTCTCTCTCTCTCTCTCTCTCTCTCTCTCTTTCTATATATATACGTGTATATATATATATATAACTATAGGAAAGACGTGCGGTTATATGTTTAAACAATGGCACGGTTGCGACCGCAGGGACGTTTGAAAACTCATGTTGCACAGCCGTGTGTGATTCCATGTTTTCAGGGACGCTCGATTTTGAATTCTTTGCGAAATTTCAGATTCTTGAGGGATGTTCACATGCGCGCGCGACGACGCGCGCGTGTGCACTTCGTCTCATTTTGGTGTAAGGGATTCTTGCGACACCGCGCGCGCAAGGTCGATCGTGCGTTTCCGATATGCGCGCTCGACAGGACTGTTTCATAACATGCGATGCGCATGTTGAAAAAACTGTTTGTCATTGTTAGAAAAGCGCGTCAGCGTGCGAGCGTTGTTTTTCTTCACAATTCAGCGACACCATTTAAGCATTGTTGTTTCGGGACATTCGGTTTCGAAGTAACGGAACCTGAGGCTCATGGAGGATTCCGGCATGCGCGCTCGACGACGTGACATTGTTTTTTTGTCGGGTTTTGTAGCGGATTCGCGGCAACCGTTGATTTTTGATGAATGAATGTGCGCGCATCGTTTTTTGGCAGAGGATGAGGGGGCGGCGATACCAGCATGGCTGGTATGATATGGGGTCTTGTCTAGGATGAGCGATAGGCACAAACATTCGTACCTTTCCTTGCGAAAAAGGGGTATCATGAAATCTGGGGGGGTGAGCTACATCCTAGGGGGGTGAGCTACATCCTATCACCTTTGTAGAAGGGATAATTCATGTGGTGCAATACGAGTGGTGTGAATTACATGGGCGTTGCAAGCTATGTGATGCAGTCGGTGCACGTTGCAGTGTATGTTGGTCGCTTTGCGTTGCAACCTATGTGTTGCTAGCCGTGTTCTTGTGCACCCAGCGCGCGGGGCGGCCACGAGGCTTTCACTCGCTGCCACCAACTGAGCACCAGGCGAAACTTCACCACATCACCAAACGCAAGGGGCGCCTTCCAGGCGCCAGCGGGCGGCGTTCACGAGCGGGCACCCACCAGGGTGCAAGCGAAACCTCAGTACACCCATCCAGGAATTTGCGTAACCCACATACGCACCCCCAAGTGGAATTACTTTTATGGGGAAACTGGACCATTCCAAATTGATCCCCAGACATTCCCGGACACCATCGGAGCTGTTTTCTTGAGCCGCGCCCAGTCATGGCCACGAGGGTGCCCCCCCTGGAGGCCCAGAAACACGTCATAAAGAAACGCGCGTAACATCGGTTCATTTTTGTTGCGACCCCTGGAGTTGTGGGTCTCACCCCTTCCACCGCCGCCGTCGCCGTCGCCGCGGCGATCGCGGTCTTCATCGTCGTCGCCGCGGCGTCGTCGTCGTCGTCGTCGTCGCCGTCGCCGTCGCCGCCGCTGCCGCCGCCGCTTTCGTACTAGCCCCCGTCGTTGTCGCCGCCGCCGTTGCCGTCGTCGTCGTCGTCGTCGTCGTCGCCGTCGTGGTCGTCGTCATCATTGTCGTTGTCGACGACGTCGTCGTCGTCACCGTCCCATTCGTCGTCTTCGGGCTCCCATCGCTCCCGCGGGGTCCTCCCAGCTCGCCGCGCGCTGTGCGCGCCTGGCGGTGCTGAGGAGGCCGCGCCGCCCCCGCGGCAAGTGGTGCCCATGCCCAGCAGCTACATGCAGGAGGCGGGTCCAGTCCCACGGCGGCCCCGACTCAGCACGGAGCTTGCGGGCCAGCGCGGAGGAGGGGCACCTCCATGCACACGGCGCAATGCACACCGACCCAGGCACAGCGCACCAGGCACGCCAAGCACACCCCACTGGGCACATTGGGCACGCCAGGCGCACCAGGCACACCGCTCCAGGCGCACTGGCGCAGTAGGCACAGCACGCCAGGCACCTCAGGCACTCTCGGCACGTCCTGCCAGGCACACTGGGCACCAACCGTACTGCACCTGGCACGCAGGGAGGAGGAGGGCTTTGCGAGTGTGCGCGCGCCTGGGGAGTTGCTGGAAACGCCCAGGAGCGCTTTGGAGTGCCTGGAGGTGATGCGAGTGGCTGGGAACGCTTGGGAACTCCTGGGTGCGCCCGGGAACGACTGCGGAACGCCTGGGATAGCCTGGGGATCTGGGAGCTTTCGCGCGTACCTAGCCCGCCCCCCATCAGGACTGGGGCGTAAAATGCTCAGTGCGGGCTCGCGCCGCCTGGAGCCCAGTCCCCCCCTCCAATCCCCTAGGGCGTTGGCTCGCCTACGCCAGCGATCATGCTCAATTTCAGTTTTCCTCTCCCACCCCTGCAGCCGCCCCTCAAAGGGGGAGCGCCCCGTGCCGCGAGCCGCCCTGTCGTGCCGAACGCGAGCGGTGAGTCCTTTTTTGCGGCTGGTGGCGTCTCGCTGCGTGACTGCGCTTGCGGGCCGGCCCATGTTTGGGGTCATTCGATTTTGGAACCATAAGAACCTTTGGATTCTGGAAGGGTTTACACACGCGACGACGCGCGCGTTTGATCTTCGTTCCACTTGTTGCAGGGAATGACTTAAGGGTGGTGGGTTTTGATGAACGAGTCTGCGCGCATAGTTTTTGGCAGAGGATGACAGGGGGGCGATGCCGGTTTGGTTCGGATGATCTTAGCTCGTATCGAATATGGACGATGGGGCAATATCACATGTACATTGCACTGCGAAAAAGGGTGCCCTTAAGGCCAGATGTGGGGGAGGTCTATCTTCTTCCTCCTTAGAAAGAATCGTTCACCCTGCCGAACTTGGAGTAGTCAACCCCACTGCTCGCGCAGTCACTCCACCCGCCCTTCCCCGACTTGGTTTGAAAAAGCCGATGCGGCGGCGATTGCGATGATTCCTCGGCGATGGCTGGTGCATCGCCGTGGGTGGCCGCGCTAGCCCGCGTGCTCGCGCGCAGAGCGGCCAGCTAGTTTGGCGCGACCGACACGGCCGCGGTGGCGCTGACCGCTGGGCGCTTCCCAGCGGGCGCTTCAGTGCGAGTTGGCGGCTTCGGCGGGCACGGTATCATGGCAACGTCGACAACGGTAGGCACGAGGATGAAATTTGCGGTGCTGGTGACGATGATGACAGCGGCGACGGCACGGCCAGTGACGGCGCCGATGCCGATCACGCCGGCGACGGTGGTGGCGTCGTTGCGTCGGTGATGGAGGTTTTGGAATGAGTTCGGCGTGCGCGCATGTTCTTATTTGACGCGGATCGTTCCCCCCCCCCAGCACGCGCGCAAGGGCTGTCGAATGATATCGACATGCGGCGCGAGTGGCGCGTTTGGCAGAACTTTGAACATGTTAAACCAACTTCTGGTTTGATCGAAATTTCGCCAGAGCGCGAGCGCTTTTTTTTGGGGGGGGGGAAAATAAAACGAAAGCTGATGTTCCGAAACCATGGTTTTGTGTATTTCTTGGAGACTCGATTGTGAAATCGGTGCGAAACCTAAGGTTTTCGACGGATTTTGGCATGCGCGCGCGACGACGCGCGCGCGTGTGCGCTTCGCCCCGTCTTTTGCAAAAGGAGTCTCGCGACAGCACGCGCCAAACCCCGTTCGGACGATTTCGACATGTGCGCGCGCGAAACCCGTTTGGTAGCATGTTCTGGAAGTGTTGAGCAGTTCGTGGTTTTCTGGCCTATTTGCAAGAGCGTGCGCGTAAACTTTTCTTTGAAAGTCCGCGTTGCGAGGCCATGTGCTTTTCGCATGTATTTCGGCGCTCGATTTTGAAACCCTTACGACACCGAAGGTTTTTGAAGGATTTCGGCATGCGCGCGCGGCGACGCGTCCGTGTGCACTTCGTCTAGTTTTTTAAAACGGATTCTTAAAAACTCATGGTGTTTGATGAACGAGTGCGCGCGTAGTTTTCTTGCAGAGGGCGGCGGGGGGGGGGCGGGCGCGGCCCCCCCTCGGATGGTATGAATTATATTTCGGATGGACGATGGAGCGGCATCGCATGTAAATTGTAATGCGGAGTGGGGAACCGGTAATCGTGGGGGTGGGGGGTCGAGTCTATGCCGAACTTGAAGTTGTCAACTCCACTGCTCGGGCAATCATCCCACCCTCCGCAACTTGGTTTGCAAAACCCATGCGGCGGCGATTGCCATGAGTGCTTGGCGTTGGCTGGTGCGTCTCTGCGGCCGCGCTAGCCCGCGCATGCTCGAGCGCACAGCGGCTGGCTAGTTTGGCGCGGCCGACGCCGCGGCGGTATCATGGCAACGTCGACGACGGTATACGCGATGATGATAGTAGCGATGCTGGTGACGATGTTGACAACGACGACGGCGCGGGCAGTGGCGACACCGATGCAGATCGCGCCGACGACGATGGCGGCGCCCTCGCGTCGATGATGAAGGTTTCCGGAAGAGTTCGACATGCGCGCGCGGCCGACGCGCGAGAGTGGCCCGCGTGGTATTATTTGGCGCTTATGGCGCCCCTCCAACACGCGCGCAAGGGCGCGCGAATGATTTTGGCATGCGGCGCGAGAGTCCCGTTTGGCAGGATTTTATGAACCTTTTGGAACAACGAATTGTATATATGTATGAAGAAATATTGAGACTTGCAACAGCACGAGCGTTTTTTTCCCCAACCATCCTGTGGTGTTGGGTCCTCGTTTCGAAAAGACGGTCCCCGCGTTCTTCTTCTCTTCCTCTTCCCCCTCATCCTCCCTCTTCCTTCTTCCATGCGCTTCACCCGCCCAGCGCAACGTTTCGTGGCCCCATAGGGAGCTCCACCGAAACCCTCATTGGGACCGCCCGCGTGCGTCCGCAACCATCCAGCACAGCCCTTGCTCCCTGCGTTTCACCCTAGGGAGCGAAGGCTCCAGTGGCACAGGCCGCATGCGTCAGCGCCGCCCAGTACAGCGCCTCGTGGCCCCACAGGGAGCTCCACCGAAGGCTCCAGTGGCACAGGCCGCATGCGTCAACGCCACCCATGACAACGCTTCGTGGCCCCAGAGGGAGCTCCACCGGAAGGCTCCAGTGGCACAGGCTACGCAGGACAACGCTTCGTGGCCCCAAATGGAGCTCCACTGAAACCAGTACCGACAATGCGGTTTTCGCAAATGCATATGGTTGGGTCGTTCGTCAGGCTAATGTTTTCTGTTTCAAAAAATGTGTTGCGACCCCTTTTTTTTTTTTTTTTTTTTTTTTTTTTTTTTTTTTTTTTTTTTTTTTTTTTTTTTTTTTTTTTTTTTTTTTTTTTATATATATATATATATATATATACAAAAATATTGTTTGGTGGCACTTGGTTTTGAACTCCTTACGAATTTGAAGGTTATTCGAAGGATTTCGGCACGCGCGCGCGACAACGCGCGCGCGTGTGCACTTTGTTGCAAGGTTTTGAAAACTGATGATTTTTGATAAACGAATGCGCGCGCCTAGTATTTATGCAGAGGATGGTGGGGGGGTCGAAACCGGGTCGGCTGGGATGGTACGAGCTCGCCTTTAGGATGGACGATTGGGCATACTCGTGCGTAAATTGCAGTACGAAAAGTGGGGCTTAAAATCCCGGGGGGGAGGGTTTAGTCTATTATCTTTTAAGAGAGGATGTTTTGTACGATCTAAAGGCGCGCCGCCTGCGCGATTTGTTTTTCGTGCGGCGACGGGCGGCAACGAGGCGGCGACGGGGCGGCGACGACGCGGCGACGGGGTGGCGACGGCGGCCACATAGCCGCCAGACCCCAGACACTGCCCAGTTCCTTACAACAGAAGCATTACCCCTAAGTGCAAGCAACATATACATACATATTCACACAGATATGCAAGTAACGGCGGACCAGGGCCAGGGGTCCCCAGGCTGGAGCCCCGACTGGCGACCGGTATGTTGGGGATCCTGGCTCGCCTGGGTGTCCCAATGGGCCACCAAGTTGGCCGAAGACAGCGTCATTGAGGCCGACCAGACGCCCAAGAGGGTCCAAAGAGTTCCTCCACGGGAGGCTGAAGAGAACAAACTGTTGACGCTTCGCGAATCCCCACCAGTAATGGCAGGCACCGAATTCGAAGACATTTTGTCCTGAGCACGTGCTCGAGCTCTCAGGATGCCCCCCGCCGTCAGCTCCCCTTCAGCTTCGCAGCTGCTTTGTGAGTGGGCCGGCCGGCCTGTGCCTTCTGTAGCTAATTAGGCTTGCCCGTTTGCCCGGACTCCTTGCCCGCCGCCTGCCTCTTCTCTTGCGGCCGCGACCGAAAAAGAATCCCCACCAACCCATCCAGAAACGATGCCCAGAGGAATTGCCTCGATCAGGGAAGTGGGCAGCACACAGAGGAAGCCATTATGAGACATCTTGGGATATCTTGAGCCATCTTGGAGGTCATTTTGGGCTCTCCCAGGCGCTCTTGGAGTCATCTTAATCAGTGCCCCCCCCAAGAGGCCAACATGTGGCTAAAACCTTAGTAAAATCAATGATTTGGCATTCTCGCCGAGGCCTCTTGGAGCATCTTGGGTGCCTCTGGGAGGTCTCTTGGGGCCTCTTGGGGGTCTCTTGGGGGCCTCCTGGGGGCCTCTTGGGGGTCTCTTGGGGCCATCTAGGGGCCATCTTGGGACCTCTTGGGGCCTCCTGGGCGCTTCTTGGGGCCATCTTGGAGGAAATCGATCAAAGAAGAGGGGAGCTTCAATTTGGGTTGCCCCCCCAGGGGGCCAAAATAGAGCCAAAACCCTAGTAAAATCAATGATTTTGGCTTCCTCGCCGAGGCCGTTTGGACGCGCTGACACCTCCCCGCCCCCCCCGTCCAGGTCCATGGGGAGGGGGTAAGGGGAGTGGTAAACCCCTCCCCGAAGGGGAAGAGGGAGGGGTGGAAGAGGGAACGCCCTAAAGCACCGACGCCCAGAGGGCTGGTGGGATTCGCAAATTTCCCTGGAGTTTTTGAAGGTTTTTAGCGTTCTCGCTTCTTCAGCACTCCTGACGCCTACAGCGGTCCGAGGGGCCTCCCAAGTCGCCCCAAGACCGCCCAAGAGCCCCCCAAGAGGGCCCCAAGACAGCCCAAGACGGCCCACGAGAGCACCAAGGCGGCCCAAGAGGGCCTCAATCAGGCGTCCAAGATGGCCCCCAGATGACCTAAGGGAGGAGGAGGAGGAGGAGGAGGAGGAGGAGGAGGAGGAGGAGGAGGAGGAGGAGGAGGAGGAGGAGGAGGAGGAGGAGGAGGAGGAGGAGGAAATCTTCCATCCCTCGTGAATTCCTTTCGCCCCCCGCAGAAGCACTTCCTCTTGCCCCCCGCCGCAGGCTGGGCGCTTGGTAAGTTCTGGTACCGTTCCGGGTCCTGACCCCCAGACGTCTTCCGACGTCTCCAGGGGTACCCAGAGGCCCCCGCGGCCAATGCAGGCCTCCGGAGGCAGAGGAAGGGACTTCAGGAGGCGTCAGGAGGCTGAGCAGTGGGGCTCCAAGTTGTTTTTTTGCATCTGGAGGCCTCCGGAGGCTTTTGGAAGCCCCCCGAGGCAGCAAGGGGGGACCATCTATCATGCTCAGTCTTCGGTTTTCGACCGCGGTGGACAAAACTTGAGCAGCTCGGCGCTCAGGCGGCTCAGGCGGCCTCCATGGGCGTGGCGCCCAGGGTGGGCTTCGGGAACGACTTCAGCACCGGCGGGGGCGCCATGTCTATGCCAGCGTTCGCCCTCGCCGCGCTGAATCCGGCCTGCCTGGGGTCGGGATCGTTTCTTTTGCCCCCCCATTGACAGGGTTATGCTGCTGATAGGGATGACGACGCCGATGACGATGACAGGGATGCTAGGATGCCAGGATGCCGATGCTGATGCTGCTGCTGATGATCATGAGGAACATGTGTATGATAATGGTGATGATGATTCTGCTGCTGATGCTGCTGATGATGATGGTGATGATGATGCTGATAATGTTTATGATGGTGATGATGATGCTGGTGATGTTGATGATGATGTCGAGGATGACCATGGTGATGAACACGCTTGTGATGTTGCTGCTGATGATGCTGATGATGACGATGACGACAATGATGATGATGACGATGCTGATGAGGATGATGATTCTGATGAGGATGCTGCTGATGATGTTGCTGCTGATGATGCTGATGATGACGATGCTGCTGCTGATGATGCTGCTGATGCTGCTGCTGCTGACGATGATTATGCTGATGGGAACGATGTTGTTGATGATGCTCTTGTTGATGACGACGATGACGATGATGTGGATGATGTTGATGATGATGTTGTTGCTGATGGTGATGATGATGCTACTGATGATGACGTCGAGGATGACGATGAGGAGAATGAGGATGAGAAGGAGGAACAGACAGCTGACCATGATAACATTGATTATGAGGAAGAGAAGTGCAGACCAATGGGGACGACGATGATGGTGACGGTGATGATGAGTATGACGGTAGCGATCAAGATGAAAAGGAGGAGGAGGACGAAGATGAGGAGGATGAAGACGGGGGGCAGGAAGAAGATGAGGACGATGATGAGGACGAAGATGAGGCGAAGGAGAACGACCCAGGCCTTTGCGACTCCACCCTCCCTTGTTGCTCATGGCTCTTGCTTTCCCTCCTCCTCCTCCTCCTCAGCCCTGCGCTGGCGCGCAGTGGCGTCGGTGAAATTTCCATCCCCCTTCCTCCTCACTTTCTCCTTCCCTCCTCCTTTCTCGTCCTCCGTCCCCTTTCCTTTTGCCTCCCTCCTGCCTCCTTTCTTCTTCATCAATCCGTTGTCGATGTCTTTGGCATGCACGCAGCTCGCCGCCGCCACGAAGTTGCGTCGCTCGGAGCCGCCTCAATCTGCTGGAGTCATCGTGGCCTTCCGCTGCTTGCCCGTCTCAGGCTTTCCGGTGGCCCGTGCGGGGCCTCCCTGCAGTGGCCCCGGCCGCGCGATCCCCCTCTGCCGCGCGGGCTTGCCTGCAGGGCCGTGCCACGGGCCTTACGCTGGAACGCGCACTTGGCCCCTCCTTGGACGTCACCCTCTCCGCTCCGACCGCCATTTCTTTCACTCCCAGCCAGGAGGCGAGGACCGCGCTCGCCACAGCGCCGGCGCGGCGGGGCCTCAGAGGTGCAGCCCCCGCGGCGCGCTGACGCGCGCTGCGCCGCCGGCGCCGCGCAGGCCGCAGCCGCTGCTGAGCCCTCGCTGACGTGCACGGGCGCGCGCCGAGGGCACGTCGTGGTCTGCTTGATGGCATGGTGGTGATGGGCCGATTTCCCACCACCACTACCTTCGGTAAGAGAGGGATGAGTCCTTGGGGATGGGAGCAGGAGGAGGAGGAGGAGCAGGAGGAGGAGGAGGAGGAGGAGAAGGAGGACCTCCCCATCCCCCCTTCTCCCACGTCCTACCTATTGTAGTGGTGGTGGAGAATAGGCCGATCAGGTGGCTCGTGATGGGCGCGGGTCCTGAGGAGCACCCTGCGCCGCCTGCGCGAGTGGCGTCCCCCCTCTTCTCCCTCTGCTGAGACGGGTCGCCCGACAGTTCTGAGCTCCCGTCGCAGGTGGCCAGGTGGGGCTCTGGTCTGGCTCGCCGCAGGCGGGGTCCTCCCAGATGTTTGCGGGCTCGAGTGCTTGGGTAACCGGCTATGCTGGAATAGAACTGCTGGCTCGCAGGAACAGCAGCAGCGGGCGTGTCAGAAATAACATCAGAGTCCAGTGCATATACCATCGACGATGCAGTGAGGTCAATGTGGGTACATTTCGATGAAGAGCATTATGACGCATAGTGGGAAGGTGGCGACGGACTTGATTGTAAGCGGGAATTTTGTCAGGACAACGGACGAACGGTCGAACAATCGTCGTGCTTGTGGTGCTGGTGATGCTGGTGCACACGCCATGGCTACCGCGAGGACAGGATGTAACAATGACCGTGGTGATTGTGGTAGTTGTCTTGATGGAGACACTGTCAGTGCGCGAGCTTCGAGTGCTTCCGCCCCACCAGGCCGACTTGTGTCATTTGATGTCTCTGTGGGGGAATTTCCTGTTTTGCATCTTCTTCGCCGTTGCTGCGCCTCGTCCTTCCTCTTCTTCCTCCTTTTGCTGCATCTGCTGTTGCATTGTGGAGTCATCCCCAGATCCGTCATTGGTAATCAATATGTTTGTTTTTTCATGTTGCTCTGTTGAGCTCGATTCTATTTTTTTGGGACAGGTCGCCAGTGATGGTAAGAAATTGTGGTGCGCAAGGTATGGCGGAACGAACAAGAATCTAGTAAGAAGGAGAAGGTTGATGACGATGATGGTGGTGGTGATGGTGATGGTGATGGTGATGGTCATCGTGGTGGTAATGGTGATGGTGATGGTGGTGTAGTAATCATAATTGTGATGACGATGATGGTAATGAATTATGATGTTGACGATGATAACGCTGTTGACGACGGTGATGTCGATGTTGATGGTGATGCTGATGCTGATGATGATGATCATCATCATGACGATGGTCATGATGATGACGATGGTCATGATGATGAGGTTGATTATGATGATGTCTCTGCTGTTGATGACGGTATTGGTGATGACGGCGGTAATGCGGATTATCTTGTTGATGATACTACTGATGGTGATGATGAAGAATGTGATGGCGGCGACGACGACGACCACGACGACGATGCAGCTGCTGATGATGATGGTGGTGGTAAGGATGATGGTGGTGACGACAATGGTGATGATAGGGCTTATGATGATGGCATTGGTGGTGATGATGCCGATGCTGCTGCTGCTGCAGCGGCTGCTGCTGATGGTTATGATGATGATGTTGATGCTGATGCTGGTGATGATGATGATGATGATGACACCAGCGATGAAGATGATGACGACGATGATGATGCTGCTGCTGCTGATGATGATGATGCCGATGATAATGAGGGCGCTGCTGATAATGATGATGATGATGATGATGCTGATGCTGCTGTTGCTCGTGGTGATTACGACGATCATGGGGAGGAGGAGGATGAGGAGGAGGATGAGGACACATGAAGAAATACAGAGCAGCCCCGATACTGAGGACGTCAGACGACGTCACCACATCATAGTGAAACAGGCAGGTCAAGGAGCGGGCGGCAGGACTGCCTGCGCTTCCCTGGTGGCTGTGCGGTCGTGCAGCGCCCCGAGCTCCGCCCCGTCGCTCGGCACCTCTGCGCCTTCCTGTGATGGGATGGCCACTGGCACCCTCGCAACTGCACGGCTCCTGCGGCGGGTCACAGGAGCAAGATCAATTTTGGAGGGCGGGATCGCACGAACAAAGGCCGACCTTCAACGTTTGTCAGGGCCGTGCCCTTTCCTGAGCGACTGAACGGAGCACTCTCCAAGCATTGCTTGCACTGGGGACTCCTGTTTGCAGAGCCCCAGCCGTGGAAACAAGAACTCGGTCTGACCTGGGACCGCCTGCTTCTCGGGAGCCTGGACCACAGCCGATCATTCTGGAACAGAGGCAAGACTGCAACTGATAACTTTATGAACTTCGTTGCTCGTCCCTGAGCTGTGTCTACTGCCTCGAGGAAACCTGGATTTTACCTAGCGTGCATGTCGAGCGCAATATTTGCATGAGCTTCCGCTGCCTTATTAGCTTGGGCATATCGGAGCTCACCACCAGCACTGAAATCGCCTCATTTGTCCGATGGGCTTTAAGATGCCGAGTGGGCGTGACATTAGCTGTGCCTGCGAGAAACTGCGCAAACAAATGGAATGCTGCATGCTTGCTCGAAGAGCTGACCTGCTCCTCGGATCTTGGTTGGCCATTTGAAAGTACACTGAAACAATCTAAACCAATATGGGTCCCTCGATCTGAAGCTTGTCCTGCAAGTGCGTCTGCTAGATGCTCCGCGAAAACAGGGGTCTGGGAAAGGGATCCTGCAACGGGCCCTCGGAGCACTGCGAGGATCTCCTCGCTTTCAGGCTGAAGGATGGCCACTGCCCAAGCAGCACTCCTGAGACACCTGAGCGCTCGCGTTGTGCAGGTAATTCCAGTAGGCTGCTCTCCCCTAGAAGTTGCCTTACCTGCTCTGGAGTCTGAGAGGTCTCTTCGCCGCTTCCCCATCAATACAACAATCGCTCGACGCACAGGGGGGAGGGACCTCACTGGGATCAAAGACATTCGAGCACTCTGGTGAAGATTCAATCCCCATTTCCACTGCCTGCTTCACTGAAACCTCTGGTGATCTCAGCCTCTCTGCTAGCTTCGACTTCACCTGGACGGCTGTACGTGTACAGTACGTGCCTCACTGTGCCGACTTGACCACAGCTGCACCTGCCTGTGCTCCGGTAGTCCACAAGGCGTGCGCGCTCCTCTGTCCATCGTGCATCGCATGCACAACATCAGACTAGCAACTGCTGATCCCTGGTAAGCTTCTTTATTGGTATGCGAGCAAATCTTGTCTCGCATAAAAGCAAAAGTAGCGCAGCGCGCTGGAGGAAGCGAGAGCTTACGCGTCAATGCATGCCTGACGCTGGAGCTTTACTTCCATCAGGTCAAGAAGCAAGGCTGGGGTTAGTTGCCCTATGTCAGCTTGCAGGCCGTTGTGGTCTTCTGGGGTCTTCCAACCGGCACGACAAGCTGCGCACGATCTTGCAAGGTGCCCTGTGCTGCCATGCCAGCTATGAGGTTGCTGGCCTTCGATTCTTTCCAACATCTACAAGGCAACTCGATCGAAACTGAAGCTCTGTCTGGGTCCGCCTTGGCTTGCCAGACCATTC